CCTGGGTGTTTACAAAAACTTTTTAATAATTAAAAATATTTCAATAGAAATATAAAAATATGAATCTATTTTTGATTATATTTCCTTAAGAAGGCCTTGGGGGAGAAATAAGGGAAATAGGGTGTAAAAGGTGTTAAGAAGACTGTAAGGTATAGAAGAGCTGAGAGTTAAAGGTCTCAATCACATAAGAAAGTTGGACTGGGAGTTTAAGAATATCTTGAAGTCAATGCACATCCTGACATTTCAATTGTATTAAAGAAATATGAAGTTCTAAAGTCTAGATATCCTGGGGAAAATCCTCTCATGACCTACCTGCCAAAAATCAGAGCCAGTCTGAGTTGGCCAGCTATAACTAAGAGCTAAAGAGCAAAGTGTTTTGATTCAATTTGAATGGGCAATATCAGATAACTGCGTGATTCCAAACAATCCACAACATTTCTACATTTGACTGTAAATGTTCCTTATAAGCAGAATTTTGGAATGAATCTTTCAACTTCATCCATTCATTCCTGAATTCTAATTAAATGTTAGATTGAATTCATTTACTCTAAATGTACCACAATCCAAAATACAACTTTCCCCTCAGCCTAAACAGTTCATTAACAATTGTATTTCAAACTCAAAATAATACTCTCATAATGGAATGATAGTCAAATATTAAAGTATAAAGACAGAATAAGAAAAAAAGATTATAAAATTATCTTTACACAAACCTATGTTTTATCTTTAAATATAGTTCATGATTTAACATAAAAAACACTTTGAATGTTTTTAAAGAATTTCACCTTTACCACATAGGAGAGGATGCATCAACACTATTTTAAGCCTTTAAGTGATATTCCTAAATTTAAATGATTTAATTGTTGCATTTATGCTAATGAGAGTGTACTCCAAACACTAATTACAATCTTGTTGCTGAAACCAGGCTATAATATACATTACAATAGTTATATTTATCCACTTTGTAGGGTAATTAGCATTAAGAGGAACAACATATTGGGAAACAGCAATTTACAGTGACAAAAATTGCTACACTAGAATTGCATACTGTCCTTTGGAGATTTCAAGCAGTACCCTGAATGCAAATTTTGATGGGTCATTAGTTTTCATTAATGGTAGTTTGAGTACTTAGGAAGACAACTATGCATTGCACTTAGCACTGGGCAAATTGCCTAGATATATTTCATATATTACTGTTAATGTAATGAAGTGTTATGGCAATTAGAAGACTGATGGTTTGGAAAATTTAGGTACATGTAACTGAGTATTTTTGAACTAAGTAGCACCTCTCACTACAGAAGTAAATGGGACTATTTGTATAGTTAACCACTACTGATGCCATTTTGTTAAATTAATTCAAGACCATATCAAAATCCAGTAGTTGATCGATCAGTTATATCAAATTAGTAATCCAATATAACTGAAATTACAAAACAAATATATCTTATAGTTCAGGCATTTTCTATATGAAATATTAAAAGTATAGTAATTTTACTAGACTTTGGAATGTACTGTAATATGACTAGTAAAATAAATACAAATATTGATTCATTTTCAAAAGGTCATCCTGTTAATGTATTAATTCCTATTAAAAGGCATATGTTGATGCTTTTGAAATGCTCCTGCTAGAAGTTCCTCAAAGGCTTCTTCAAAACTTCAGAAACGGACTCCAATGAGACACTGCTAAATTGGAATTAATTTGCAAACTGTATACAGTTAACTTAGGCTTGAATAAAGACTGGGAGTGGATGTGTCATTACACAAAGTAAAACTATTTCCCCATGTTTATCCCCCCCTGCCCCCCACTGTTCCTTAGAAGTTCTTGTCAACTGCTGGAAATGGCCCACCTTGATTATCACTACAAAAGGTTTTTTCCCCCCCACTCTCCTGCTGGTAATAGCTCACCTTACCTGATCACTCTCGTTACAGTAAGAAGAAAATAGTCTCTAAGGTGCCACAAGTACTCCTTTTCTTTTTGCAAATATAGACTAACAAGGCTGCTACTCTGAAACCTCTCGTTACAGTGTGGCACCTACTCAGTCTCACCAGCCTTAGCTGTTTTTTTGCCTTGGTGAGATGGCCTTGGGTAAAACAGTCCCTCTTGGCTGCACAGGGGCAGTCCGTATTTCTCTCAGCCAGTGTTTTGGCTTTTTTTTCTCCCTTATGGGAGGGAATGCAGCCTCCCCTTCGGGAGAAGCTTGCTCGCTTGCTGCTACTCGCCTACTGGTAGCTTGACTCCTTCCCTCTCTCTCTTTCCCCCCCTTCTCCCAACAGGGGAGGGTTTAAAAGAATCCAAATGGGTCCTGATTCTGTGCCTAAAGAGGCCATACTCTGCTAAATCAGATGTTGCAACACTGAACGCAGTAGTGCCTAAATATCTTTAAAAATCTGGGCCAAAATCCAATAATATGGGCTTTAAAAAAAATCTAGACATCTCGACAAAAGAGATAACTAACTGAGAAAAGGAAGAAGTGTTAATATAAAAAGATATTAGTTTATTTTGGAAAGATGCAAATATATATATTAAATTTATTTTAAAAATATGTAGCAGCAAGTATCACATGGTAACATGAACTAACTGCACTCTATTAATTCTTAATGTAAGAAGAACATGAAGCGTTTCTATTCTGATAGTACCAACAAACTTTTTAATCTGAAAGCATTGACTCTCTTGATCTCAATATTGGTAACAATTACTGAGAGTCTCAACTGCAGACTTCAGGCAGATATATAATCTAGGAGGACATCACAGTGAAAGTATGAACAAATATCCTTATTCCCGTCATAAAATACCTTCTATAGTTCTCTAAAGGAAAGACAATGTTTTTATTCTATTAGCATTGATTTATATAAAAGACCTCAGTTATAATCAAGTCAGTGAAATTATACATTAAACATCTTTGAATCTTTTTAAGACAAGAGTTAAAATACACAAAGATCTTTTTTCCTCAGTTGATTTCCACAGCACACAAAATTTAATATGAAAATATGATTCTGATATTGAACCTATTTTAGCAAATTGCCAGTGGAAACATATTAATATTGGTTTGTATTTATGCTGTGGCAAAAACTCTGAAGTTCAGCTGATACTCCATGTATTATTATTCAATATTAGTAATTAAATGCCAGCTATGAAACCACCTATTTTATCTGTATGTATAAACATAAGCAAAAATATGGGCAGATATCTCTATACATACGAACATAAATCAAGTTTATTAAACACACCTGATTTCACATAGCTAAAACCAACATCACTGATTTATATGAACTCAGCTGGAGACAGAGGGGTGAACATAGGGAGAATTTTGTAAATCTTTCAAAAACTGCCCAGTGGGCTATTAGCTATTCTGAGGTGGGTTGTGTTCTCTCTCTCTGTTTTTTCATGTGAAAAAATTCAAAATGTCTGTTTTGTTCTGATGCAGAACAGAAAACAAACAAAAAAACCCTTAAGTCTTTATTTTTTTCGCCAGGGCAGGAAAATAATTCTCGTCACCAGGAGAGTCTTAGTCATCAGTATCCTAGTGTCACCTCCCAGCTCCCTTAATTTTTTCAGTGTTCAGCTTTTCTAGTTAGATGTCCTGCCTCTGTTAAATATCTTTATGTTTTTAAAGCATATATAAGACTTCAATAAGTGGACCTTAAGTTCAACTTGGGGGGCTCATGAAGAAGGGTGATGGGCCATGACCATAAAGGGATTCAGTTTGCCTCTGGGGGAGGACAGGAGAAGTCTCTGTCTTCCCTAGAGCAAAGGGATAATGCCTGCCTTTAGCCTTCACACAGGGAGGATTGAAGTCTCCTTGCACACCTCCTCACTGCTATACAAAAATCAGTGACAATATGGCTCACAGGTTTTATTGTCACCATTTTGCATTGAGAACTCATTTCTAATTTGCTGTCCACTATCAATCCAAGCTCTTGTGCAGTTGTCACAGTATTGCTTCAAGAACTTCTCTCCCATTTAAAAATGTCCACATTTTGAATAGATATCTCCCACAGGTATTCCGCGTTTTAGTTTGAACTGAATCATACGTAGTTATTTCCTGACCACATTTCTAACCTTCCTAGACATTTTCTTTTAGACTATACAATTTTTTGCAGTACTTCCCTCCCCAGGTAAAAGAGACAATGCTTATGTCTGATGGAGGAGGAAAATGTGTTCGAGCAAGAGAGACAACTCTTAAATCCTTATTTCCCCAATTCAGAGTCCACCATGCAGTCAGAGCCAACGGGGGAGGGGGGGGGGGGGGACGACTAATGTAACACAAATTTGTTTGTTTTGCTGGATTTCTTTAAGAATAACAAATGTTAACACTAAGATAAGTAGTTTAATTATTTATAAGCTTGTAGGAAAGCATTGTGCAGAAGAGAAAGGTATGGAGACAAGCTCCTAAGCAGCTTTATCTGTTAGGAAGAGAGGAAAGAATTGTTATTCAGGGCAAGGCTATTTAGACACCCTCTGCCCCTTCGCCACAGTATTTTTTGATACTGCTCAAAAGGATTCTGTTAGTGCCTGTGACTCCCTGGAGACATATTTATTAAGGTAAACATAGCAGTTTAGGCTTAAGTATAGAAAACAATTAAGTGGTAGTTTAAAACTTTTTTTTTTTTAATTTTTATCTTCGCATTAGGTGTTGCGGGTTTTTTTTAGGAAAAAAAGGATAGCAGTATAAATTTGGAATGTAGATGTGAAATAATACTATTTGAATAAAATAAAAATCTATACGAAACTTTAAAATGTATATAGAATGTCAAATCATTTAGAAATATGTATCTTTATAGTAAGAGGCTTTAAGTTCAGACTTCTATGACCTCTGAAACCACTTAGCTGAAATTTAAATATGTGTGTGTGTGTGTGTGTGTAAAATCACGGGTGAAGTTCATTTCAAGTGTACTACTTGCGCTAGTACAGCAGTAACTTTTCCAAGCATTTTTCAGGTCACAATTAATTAGTAGCCAATCAATATAAAGCATAAGTAATACCGTACCCCAGCACTTACCCATGATGGTTAAAGCTGTAGCTTTTGTTAATTCTTCCTTCATTGACTCTATTATTTCTAAATTACCACCATCCTGGTTGCATCTATTTATGGTTCCATTTCCTGAACTGATCCAATAAAGCTTGTCCTCCAGATAATCTATAGATAGACCTGTAATTAATTTATACAATTAAAACATAATTGTGGCCTCTTAACATGTAATTTTAATTCATATTTAGGCTATTTTTATCAAAGAAAAGCATATTCAAAGATTTTGAGCCAGTAACAAAGAAATCTAAATGTAAAATGTTCTCTTGTTTTAATGTATGTTACAAAAGCAAAGATGAAAGCACAGTAAAACAGACAATTTACAGTGAAAAATAGCTTGTGTTTTGAGATAGATTTAATTCTATTCATATTTCCTCCTCACAAATGTAAATTTATCTGTAACTGACTAATGGAAGGACATTTTGTGGCAGTGAACAACTAGCTGGATGAGCTGAGGTCCTAGGAGAGGTCATTAACTAACAATAAATGCCCCAAAGAGGCCATTATTGCTATTACAAACTGTAAAAGTACAAAATAGGGAAAACATTGTAATCACCTGTGTATTCAAAACTGGAAGAGAAATGACATTTTTTTTAAGGCTGCTGATTAATTGCAGTTAACTCATGCGATTAACTAAAAAAAATTAATCACGATTAATCACAGTTTTAATAGCCCTGTTAAACAATAGAATACCAATTGAAATATATTAAATATTTTGGATGTTTTTCTACATTTTTGTATATATTGTATTCTGTGTTGTAATTGAAATCAAAGTGTATATTATTTTTTATTACAAACATTTGCGCTGTAAAAATTATAAACAAAAGAAATAGTATTTTTCAATTCACCTCATTCAAGAACTGTAGTGCAATTTCTTGGTTGTGAAAGTGCAACTTACAAATGTAGATTTTCGTTTTTATTACATAACTGCACTCCATAACAAAACAATGTAAAACTTCAGAACTACTTCTCGTTCAATCAATCGCTAAGACAAATAAGTTTGTTTACATTTACCAGAGATAATCCTGCCCTCTTCTTATTTACAATATCACCAGAAAGTGAGAACAGACATGTGCATGGCATTTTTGTTGCCGGCATTGCAAGATATTTACTTGCCAGATATGCTAAATATTCATATGCCCCTTCATGCTTCGGCCACCATTCCAGAGGACATGCTTCCATGCTGATGATGCTTGTTAAAAAAAATAATGTGCTAATTAAATTTGTGACAGAACTCCTTGGAGGAGAATCATATGTCCCTGCTCTGTTTTACCCGCATTCTGCATATATTTCATGTTATAGCCGTCTTGAATGATGACCAGCACATATTGTTCATTTTAAGAACACTTTCACTGCAGATTTCACAAAATGCAAAGAAGGCACAATGTGAGATTTCTAAGCATAGATATCCTTATTCTAAGGATAAGATTTAAGAATCTGAAGTGACTTGCAAAATCTGAGAGGGACGAAGTGTGGAGCATGCTTTCAGAAGTCTTAAAAGAGCAAGACTCTGATGCAGAAACCACAGAACCCAAACCATCAAAAAAGAAAATCAACCTTCTGCTGGTGCCATCTGACTCAGATAATGAAAATGAACATGCGTCGGTCGACACTGCTTTGGATTGTTATCAAGCAGAACCCGACATCAGCATGGATGCATGTCCCCTGGAATGATGATTGAAGCATGAAGGGACATATGAATCTTTAGCACATCTGGCATGTAAATATCTTGTGACGACGGTTACAACAGTGCCATGAGAACACCTATTCTCACTTTCAGGTGATATTGTAAACAAGAAGCAGGAAGCATTATCTCCTGCAAATATAAATAAACTTGTTTGTCTGAGTGATTGGCTGCACAAGAAGTAGGACTGACTGGACTTGCAGGCTCTAAAATTTTAGATTGTTTTATTTTTGAATGCAGGGTTGTTTTTTTTTGTAAATAATTATACATTTATAAGTTCAACTTTCATGATAAAGAGATTGCACTACAGTACTTGTATTAGATGAATTGCAAAATACTATTTATTTTATTTTTTACAGTGCAAATACTTGTAATCAAAAATAAATATAAAGTGAGCACTGTACCTTTGTATTGTGTTGTAATTGAAATCAATATATTTTAAAATGTAGAAAACATCCAAGCATTTTAAAATAAATGGTATTCTATTATTAACAGTGCAATACTCATGCAATTAATTGCAATATTTTTCTAATTGTGCAATTAATCATGATTAATTTTTCTAATTGTGCGATTAATGGCAGTTATTTTTTTTAATCGTTTGACAGCCCTATTTTTTTCCCTCCATGTACATACAAGATTATATTTGCAATACTGGAGGCCCTTAAAATATTAGAAATTTAACCAAGAAGAAAGAAAAACTTCTTACTAGATTAATGATACTAATTAAAATTCTACTTCAAATTATGTTAACCAGAATTAGACACTCAAGACAAGATATACAGAAATACTTTCAAAATGTTATACTGACCAGATGAAGAAAATAAAATGAAGAAAATAAAATGCTTGCCAGACCTAATCAAATCATTGCAATAGAGGGAAAAATATGGCAAAGTGAAAAATATGAGATGATGGTCTTGCAGAATTCTCCTCCTGAAAGGAGAAGACTATTTCCAATCTTATAGTAATTGCAGCACACCTCCATGATGGAAAGTTGACTTTAAAAAAAAAGCAGAACAACTGTGAAAATCATTCCCTGTGTCTTTGAAGATAAAATTTGATGTGAAAATATATGCTAAAATGTTGGTGGACAGAACAGGAATTGGAGGGTATGGTTTGATAAAGAGACCAATAATATAAGGGTGGGGGTGAGGGGGTAGCACACCTCACAGGTAGCAGAAATAAGATGGTCCTGCAGCAGCAGTTTCTATTGACTCTCAGAAAGTTAGTTTTCAGTATAATCAAATGGAAATATGAGTCGGTTCTGGTGATGTTTGTCTCCGATGACACAGAAGAAAGATGATGCCAAACCAAGCCTAGATCTTGGACAAAGCCACTGTCAGCCAGAAATTTGCTGAGTTTCTGCAGATGACAGCTCCTGAAGAATCTTCAGGAACACAGACTCAGGTCTATAGAGAAGTCCCTGAACATTCAAATATCCCTTTGGTAAATCCTCTAATGTTCTGCCTAAGGGACTTGGAGTGTTACCCCAATAGCCAGGGGGGATGGTAGTTCTCCTACTCACCTCCATTATTAGTTTCCCCATGAAAGTCTCCTGTCAAAAATGCATAGCTAGAGACTTTAGCTGTCTGTCAGAGGCTATTTTCTACTAGGGAGATGCTACTCCAAAATCAATAAACAATTCATGTGGGATGCTCAAAAAGAACTTTGAAGGGCAGGAACAGAACCCAGATCACAAGTCCCAGTCTAGGATCTTTACCACAAGACCAACTATCCTCTCATAGCCTTCTTTCCCCCGCACTCCTGCTTCTTTAAGAAAGCATTCAGTCACGGCTTCTCTCACAGTTCAGCCAGAATCTGCAACATTTGGCTCTAAGAGAGTGTGACATGACATTGTGAGTACCTCCTGATACCAGAAGTGTCAGTGAAGCATCTCTGACCGTATTTCCTTGGCTCATCTGGTTTTAGTCTTGTTTAGTATGTTATCTCTTTTGTTCAGAAATTGTGTCTTCCTGTGCCTGTGGAAGGAGTTTAGTGTATTGTAGGAACATATCAGGTCTTACACCCGTCAGTAGTCTTTCATACTACACACAATGAGGTGCTGATGACAGGGCTGCATACTATATCAACAGTAAAGAGTTATGTTGAATTCGATCCATCTTTCTTTCCTTCAGAAGACTCAGAGAGAAGACTCAGAAGATGATTGTTTAATTATGAGAAGTGCCACATGATTCCTATTCTATCATCTCTCCTGTTCAATGCCTATATGAAACTACTGGGGGAATATTAGGAGATGATTTAGTGTATAGTGTTATAAATATGCTAATAGAAAAGGAGTACTTGTGGCACCTTAGAGACTAACAAATTTATTTGAACATAAGCTTTCGTGAGCTACAGCTCACTTAGTATGCTAATGGCTCTCAGTTGTGTCTCCATTTCTCTAGATCTAGACAGAACAGTGGTTCAACTTGCACAACCTACCAGAGATCACATATTGGATGATCCCCCCAATGTTGTGATTCAACTGATATAAAGACAGAGGTAATTGTGATGAGTTGGAGAAACAAGAGTTGCAGGAGATAAGAGTTAATTTTGGCTTCTTTGATAGAGGCATTTGCTTTATTTTTACTACCAATATTCATAATCTGGGGACCTAATGGTTCCTTGGGTGCTTCTGAGTGTTCATAGTGGCCAATATCCCCCCGCTTTTACTTTTGCTTTCTCTTTCTCCATTTTTCTTCTTCAGTAGAATTGGAAGGTATCTGTATTATTTGTAATATTTTCTGTACCTGCCACTCCCAATCCTCAGCAGAATAACCCAAGGAGGAGGGCAGCATTGGTAATGCTACCTGTTCCTCTTGGGGATTGAATTTCCCCCTCTGGTATAGCTGTACCCACAAATAAATACAAAACTTGAATTTCTACAATGACCCTCCACACCACATACACACTATTTAATGTGTGGTGTACCACAAAACCCTCTCAATGGAAAATGCTTCAATTTGGAAACCGAGAATATTTTGGATTTCTGCATGTGTGCATTATCCCGATTAAGGAGGACACTCTTTGGCAATCTTTACAGCAACTTTCTTAGGTAAGATGATTCTGGAGTTCTAGTAAACAGGAAAGAAAAGGGAACATTTGTTATCTAATTTAAAACCAATTTTATGTATGAAAACCAACCATATGGATCAATTTAATTATGCCTCCATCCTGGTGAAATATTGTTTGGAAGAATGTTTGCCACTCCTCCACCAATCTGCACTTCAATGCAACTTGAACCCACCATCTTTTAGGCCAGTGTTTCCCAAACTTGAGATGCCGCTTGTTCAGAGAAAGCCCCTGACGGGTCCGGCCGGTTTGTTTACCTGCTGCGTCCGCAGGTTTGGCTGATCACGGCTCCCACTGCCTGCGGTTTGCTGTGCCCAGCCAATGGGGGATGTGGGAAGTGGCGGCCAGTATGTCCCTCGACCCGCGCCAC